TTTTCGATGGATTATAAAACATGACTCCTTAACCAATTATCATCAATAACTTTAGGAGTCAAGTAGGACCTCACAATCGGTGCGGTCCCCTTATCGCCCATCATAACCTCCTCCTTCGAGGTTTCTCTATTATAATAAACGGGATCACCAGACTAGCTCTACATCACCTCCATCGTAATCCTCTGCATTAGCAAGAAGCGTCCTTTTCCCCGCCTTTCGACACTCGGATTACCTATGGCTAATTTCACCACAAACTGAAACACTTTATATTGTTATCGACTACCTTACCAATCTATTTAATAATAGGAGTGTTTTTATTAACATCGCCTCCTACTTGACCTACACCATCACCACCACCTAAATCGTTACTCGTCCCCTATACCGAAAGGATTAATAAAACTCGCTCAAATGGCATGACTCGCTTCTCAACTCCGTAATGCTTTTTAAAAGGCAACTAAAAGACACACAAGGTCACACATATTAATGGAGTCCCTAATCCGTGGTTTCGATCCACCAATGTACCTCGTAACTAGCCGATCCTCTCGTCTCTTGTAGTTCATTCCGGGTTAACAACCGGTAGAACTCGGTGGTGTAGTCATCTACCGATTGAGCCTTCGTCTCAAATTCCGTAATCGTTGGTACATCATCCTCTAAAAATTATAGGGTAAGAAAGCAAGACGCATGTGTTTCTTCATCTTCTCCCAAGACGTAATTTTAGGCTTACCCATCCGATTTCTGATTAGCTTCAATCGCTCCTACCAACCAATCGTCCTCTTTCTAAACCCGAGTGGCTACTAAGGGTACTCATTTATCCTTAGGGCCAACCTTAAACTCTAGAATCTCTTCCACTATCGACATCCAATCTAGAAACTCTTTTGTTTGGAGGGTGCTATGAAATTTGAGAATCTTTACCACATACCACTCTCCCACCTCTTCATCGTTACACTCCCTCATGGGAACTCGATGCCTTATGCACCGGAAGTTTTCATCATTCTCATCATCTTCCCGGTCGGCTTCTAGTCCCTCCCAATGGTGATTTCGATTCCGGTTCATTGTCAACGCACCTATCCGTTGGGCGCCGCCCCTAAATGTTGTGTCAATTGTTGTAGAGCTCGCTCTATCCTATCATTCAGCTACTCAACTCGATGTTCCAAACACAAAACATCGGTGTGCTCATATAGCTTATCCATATCTCACTATTGCTCGTTGTTGTCTCCTAGGCGACATGGTTAGGAAAGCGATAACTAAGCTCCGGTACCAACTAACGTAACGAAAGTTCACAAGAAAGAATGACAAATATCGTTGATCCGATATTCGGATATTGGTCTACTATAATCTATTAATTTGCACACAAAAACTAGAGAATAGGCTTCAATTTCGTTGATTCAAAGAATGTCAACAATTGGAAAAATTGAGATACTCTCTCACAAAAATTTATTAATCAAGCAAAAGTGGCATTTTTCAGCCTATAAGTCTTACATAAATAGTAAATTTTAGATCAAAACCCTAAAGCAATTTGAAAAGAAAATAAATACTAAAAATTTGAAATTAATTAGGAAAATCTTGAAATGAACTAAAACTCCCACAGGAAATAGTAAATTGTAATTTTGAGGGCCTAAACTATGTTTTTTAGCCAAAATCACCCCAACATCATTGGCATAGTCATGAGTTTCATTCGTTGGCGTATTTGGCACCGAATCGACCTAAATAAATCTCGAATTGGGCTAACGGTGTTTTTATTTCCAACTTCTACCGCCCTTATATTGTTTCATGAATTCTCAAGCCTACTGGTCCGCATCATGATTTATGACATGAAATGCATGTAATAATGTGCATTACTTGTACCAGTTTCATAAACATGCATGATTGATCAAATATGTGTACATGTTAAATAATCTTATAAACATAAGCATGTACTAATTAAATCATGGCATGCATGAATTTATCATCGGACAAAACAATTTCATTAAACCCTAAAGCTTAGTACTTGACCGAATATGTCAAATAAGCCCATCATATTCAATCAAACACAAATCGAGCAACAATCACATTCATACATCTACATACACCTTAATAAAAAATAATTCATCACAAATTAAGGTAATTAAGCAAATAACCATTATCATTAAGGTTAGCCGAAATTTTCAATCACCAAACCAAGGAGAAATTTTTCCATTAAAACATATTTTCCATGTTAATTCATCTTATTAAACCCTAAAATATCAAATGTCATCACTCATAAATTTAGGGTTTTGGTCGAATGATTCATAAAGGATAAACATCACCAAGTTTTCATCTAAACACAATTATTTCTATTCAATTAATCATTTAAACATATAATCATACAAATTCCCCAATCAATTCAATTATCCCTAAAAATTAAGTTTGGGCCAAATCAACTTAGAAACCAAATCAAGCTTAATCTTCCTAATTCAACACATTCAACCACGTTCAATCAACCTTCCAAGCATAAAAATATCATAATTTTATGAAACTAACCTAACCTCCTTCATTCCATGCTTTGGTCGAAACTTTCCTCCATAAATCACCAACTTTAATTCTTCAATTCAACCATAAATAAGCTATCAACCATGACAACTCAACCATTAAAACATGATTTCACCAATAGTTCATCACAATCCAACAAGATCAATATAGTTCAAGAAAGTGAATATTAAAATTACAACTTATAAAAGCTTCTAACAATATTGATTAAGCATCAAAAAATTAATTTCTTGTGATGTAGTTAGGACTATACTTACCTCAAATGATGCTTGAAATTTTCTTCTCTAGTTTCTTCCTCCACAAGTATCGGCCAAGAGCAAACTTCCTCCTCCTCCTCCTTTGTTTTTCTTTTCCAAGATTTCTTATGGTGATTTTAAGGTGTTTTAGTTTTAATTTTGTGGATTTGGGGGTTGATTATGCTCGATTCTTCCTATGCTTGCTTGATTTTTCTTATTTTTTCATATGTTTTAGGTTGTTCATCCTTCCCCTATTTTCCTCTCTTTGGCTAAATATAATGAAGAAGAATTGCCAAGATTAAGTCAAGTGGATGGGCACTTGGTTTAACCCCTCTATCTCTTTCACTATGTAATTTTTGTAGATTTTCTCCATCTTTCTTCATTTCTCCTTATTTTCCTTTGTTATTCTTTTCTTTATTTTCCTTTGCTTGAGCCAAATAATTCAGCCCCTCTAACCCAATTTCTCTTTCATTACTGGTATGTTATTCTTTCTTATGTGAGTGAATTGTTTGGTCTCTCAAATTTTCGAATGTTTTCATGGTGCTCACTAAACTTAGTTAACCAATTCGATTGGATCCCTACATTTTGATCCCTTAACTTTTAATTGTTACAAATCAGCCCCTATCCTAGGCATTTTTCAAATTTAATAATGGTCACTAAATTTTTTTAATTATTTTAATTAAGTACCTAAACTTTTAATTTCTTTTGATTAAGTTCTTAGAATTTTTCAATTAAACCCTTAGGAATTTATTATCTTAATAATTAATCATTTATACTTGCTAAATTAAGCACTAAATATTTCCTTCATACCTCCGGATACTTATGGAAACACAAATATTATTTTCATGAATACATAAATATTAATTCACACATCAAATTAGATATTCACACCAATAAATAATTAATCAAACATTAGACTATCCATACATGAAAACAAATACTTATTCATATATAATTATTTAAGGAGGTTTTTGGCCAAGGATATCATAGTAACGATCGACTAAGTCGACCGTTATTTGGATTGCCAAAACCATGTCATTTTTTACATTCAACTCTTAATTATATTTTTTATTAAAAAATATTTTTAACTCTTCTAATCTTAAAATTTTTTAAAAAATTCTTATAAAATATTATAATTATAAATTATATAAAAATAAATATTTTATAAATATTTTTAATCCCTTAATTTTGATTTTTTTTAAAAATATTTATTAAATATTATAATTTTTTTATAATTTATAATTTATAAAATAAGGAATTATACTCATTTTACTTTATAAAATATTATCATTTATATTATAAATATTTTAATGCTTGTTGGATATTATAAACATTTTATAAAAAATATTTTTTAAAAAATAATTAACAGTTTATAATTTTAGGCCTTTAAAAAATATTTAACAAATTAAAATGAGTATAATTAAGGGTTGACCTTCTAATTTTATAAATCAAATATTATGAGAAAAACTTTTTTTTTGAAAAATATTTATAATATTTTATTAAAAAGTTTAAAATTAAGAGGTTAAAAATGTGTATAATTTTATATATAATTTATAATATATTTAAGAATTTTTTTTAAAAAAATTCAAGATTAGAAGGGTTAAAATTATTTTTAAAATGGTTTTGTTAAAAGAAATATATTCAAAAACGAAATTTTAAAACTATATGGTTTTGATATTTTAAGTAATAATGTCATTTTGATATTTTAAGTAACGATCAACAAAAATTAAAAAATAAATTAATTTTATTCATAAATCAATAAAACAGAGGTAAAATTTACCATTAACCCACTATTAAATCATTATTTCATGAATTACATTTATCGGTTGGCCGATGGCAATTGCCAAATGCACTAGACGTCAGTGCGTGCGTGACTGCGTGAGGGAGAGATAAAAGAGGAAAAACCGGACCATAGTAGTACTTTACTAGGTTATGTAGCTAGGGTGGTACTGAGAGTTTAGTCTGGATCATTCACCAGTTTGCCATAATTACAACAACAATGACATCATCATCATCATCATCATCGTTATAGTATCACAAGAACAAATATAGCAGCATATCCATATAGATAAGACACAAAGCAAAACACCCACCACAGTCCACACTTGAAAATCTAATAAACCAAAACCCACGCAGGTCCACGTAAAGGCAGTTACAACATTTTGTCTCTGTTCCTGTTGCTTCCTCCTCAGTAACACATCAAAGTTTTCTATTTGTCTACAGTAGAAATAGAAGAGAGAGAGAGAGAGAGAGAGAGAGATGAAGGATCAAAAGACTGAAAGTGGAGGTGGGTATGTGAGAGCAGATCAAATAGATCTCAAGAGCTTGGACGAGCAACTGCAAAGGCATTTAACTAGAGCATGGACTATGGAAAAGAACAAGAGCAAGAAGGATGCAGATCAAGGAGAAGGAGAAGCTGGAGAAACGCAAAGAGTCACCAAGAATAATAACAGTGCCACCACAGCTAGACAACAATGGGAGATTGACCCCTCCAAGCTCATCATCAAAAGTGTTATAGCTCGCGGCACTTTTGGAACCGTTCACCGGGGCGTTTATGATGGCCAGGATGTTGCTGGTACACACACATATACATATATATATATATGCATTCCCTTTTTCATTTCCAAATTAATGTCCTCCTCCTCCTACGGTACATGCTATGGCTTGATTCACACAAGAAACTATCTTTTCTGCGTTTGTGAAATAATGTTATTTATTTTGCTGTAATTTGGTTTGCAATCTGCTGTTAGAAGCTAGGGTGTGTCCTTTGGCTTGACCAAAAAAGTTAAAAAAAAATTTGATTAATTTTACGACAGACATATATATATTTCTTATGTACCTCTTTAAAATCAATAAATCCTTGCATAAATGTTGGTCATTAGGAATTCCCTGCTTGGTTTGCTGAGGAAATGCTCGTAAAGAAGGGAATTTGGAATCATTTGTATTAGCCATCTCATAATTTGGGCTTAAAACCAACAGTTTGCTAAGGAAAAAATGTTTTGCTTTCTTCTTGCGTACGCCTTTTAATAATCCTGGGTCCTTGTAGATCAAAGCTTCCAAAAATCCGTGATTTCACGAGATTTTATGGGTTGGCAGTTGGATGCAGCAGCAAATGTTGCCTTTTCTTTTGTTTATCTTTAACTTTCATGTGTGGAAACTTATTATTATATAATTAATTTGTTGTCATGTTTTAGCTTACTTTCTGGAAATAAAAGCTTGAGAATTAATGAAAATCCAACTCAACTCATATCTACCTTAGCTATAAAGCTGCCAAGTGGATGTTCCAACTAAACAGCTAAGGAAAGCCTTGCCCAACTATCAGGGCAGACTGCTGTCGACTAAGTTTCGATTCACTTAATTTTTTTTTTTTTCACCCTCTATGGGAGATAATCATGTGAAAGTGGATATTTTGAAAAAATAAAAAAATAAAAAAATAAAAGTCTTTCATTAAAGTTTGTTACCATATGTAGCTATTCAATGCTTTTTTCTTTTTTCATTAAGTGAATCTATTCCTAAATTATTAGTCCATTTATTGAAAGTATGTGGAAGTTTTTTATTCTTCCTCTCGCGCAGTTAAACTTCTTGATTGGGGTGAGGAGGGCCACCGGTCAGAGGCCGAGATTGCTTCTTTGAGAGCAGCTTTTACGCAAGAAGTTGCCGTTTGGCACGAGCTTGATCATCCTAACGTGACAAAGGTACGATTTCATTTCATGTATGACTTTCTCCTCTTTCTCCAGATAATGTGAACCTAACTAAAAGTTTAACAACATGCAACCTTTCTTTTGACCTTTAAAAGATGCATGTGAACTTTCACCATGTGAAATATGTAAAAATGCCACTTATTCTACTTGTAATACAATTTGCATGCTTAATTTGGTACGTTTTATTGGAGAAAATTTCAATTTGCCTTCTAAAATTTGTTTCAACGTGTCTCAATATCTTTCATTTTTGTTACAATTTATCCCTTCCAATCATTTTCATTAAAAATAATAACTGAATAAATGTATAAATTTCAATTTAATTCCGGAATATCTTGATATTATCTAAAAAGTAAAGAAAATAGTAAATAAATTGAAATTAATAAAAATAAATCGATAGAATATATATATAACAAGTATGATAAAAATTAAGAGGATTAGTTTTTAAAGAATCTTCAAATTTTACTTGGCTCATATTTTTCTTTGTCAATACTATTTTTAAATGAAAATAAAGCTTCAAATAGATTTAACTCTTTCTCTTAATTATTATTAGCATTATTATTATTTTTGTTCAAACTTTCACCATTCTCATCCCTCTTACTTGTTTATCTAACTATCACGTTATTAATGGTGTTTAAATAACAACTTCAATATGATTAATAGGGTTCAAATAAAGGTTCATCATCTTTTTTTCTTTGATGTTGTCGTCAAATAACACCTTCAATATGATTAATGGTGTTTTATATATATATACAAAATTATTGTTTAAGATTTGATAGTAGATTTAATGGAGAATCGGATAAAATATGTTGGTATGATATGCTAATAATAGAGCAGAGGAGAGGCAAGAACAACAATGGTTGAAACTATGTTAATTTAACCTTTTTTTAAAAAATCATATTTCTTTTAATTTATCTTATTATTTTATTGTCAAAAGATTAATAGATTAATCCTGTTTTTATAGTATTTGTTTTATTAAAAAAAATATTTTCTTCATGATTTTTTAATTTCAATATATTCATTCTTGTTTTTTAGGTTATATTGAGAAATTGCATAAATTTTAGAGGAAAAAAAAATTGAAAGTTATATACCTTTTATGTTAATATTTGTGACGTAGAGACTGAAGTGGAGATTGGAATAAAATGAAAGATGTAAGGGATGATTGAAACAAACAAAAAATTGTAGGTGAAATTAAAACAAACAATAAATCTTTGAAGGATAATATGAAATTTATTTTGTGCTTTATTTTGAGTGGCCACGCCAAACAAATGAACGTTGCAAGCGTCCACTAACATTTCCATCCAATATAACATTTCTGGAGCATTTCAATATGCATTTTCTTCAAGTATATGTTTTACATCTTAAATATCAGGTTTCAGTGCTTAGCTCGATCCTGTTCATATTTTATTGCTTTAAATCAAGCCAAATTCCTTCTGCAGTTTATTGGGGCTACAATTGGCACGTCAGAGCTAAACATACAAACAGAGAACGGTCACATGGGGATGCCAAGTAATGTTTGCTGTGTTGTTGTCGAGTATTGCCCTGGGGGTGCTTTGAAATCTTACCTCATAAAGAATAGGAGAAGGAAGCTTGCTTTTAAAGTGGTCATGCAATTGGCACTAGATCTTGCACGAGGGTTAGATACTCGTCATGTCTATCTGTGCTTTATTTTGACCTTCAAATCATCCGAATTGAAAGCTTATTTTAGTTGATGTTTTCAGTTTTTTACTATTGAAGCATATTAAGCAATTCGCAATTATTGAAGCTGCCATTTGGCATTCCTTACAGGTTGAGCTATCTCCATTCCAAGAAGATTGTCCATAGAGATGTTAAAACTGAAAATATGCTTCTGGACAAGACACGTACAGTGAAAATAGCTGACTTTGGGGTTGCTCGCCTAGAGGCATCAAATCCTAATGACATGACTGGCGAGACTGGAACGCTTGGATACATGGCACCAGAGGTACAAAATTTAGAAGGCATACAGGCCTCTGCTTTTGCGACAGTTCCATATTAAAGTGCTTTATCATTGAAAAATTAGTGTTAAGAGTCTTGAATGTGAATTTCTGACTGAAGTTCTGCCATGAATAACAGTTAAATGTCTTTTACCACTAGTGCTAGCCCTTGTGGGTCAAGAACAGTTATATCTTAATTTTACTTGCATGCTTCGCATATTCTAATGTAGATGCTTTCCCAAATGGAGATTCACATTTCATTACGGTAAGTAAAAAATAATAATCATAATAAATAAATAAAGTAGAAAGCAATTTAGTCTGTATGACGGGCAATTTATTTTTGTAGGTATTGGTTTTATATGGGGTAGTTGTAAGGAGTAAGTACCATCTGCATTACTGGAATTTTTATTATTTGAAACTTGGGATTAATGTGGCTTCATATTTCTGTGTCAGAGTTCGTACGTCTATTTAAATGGTTAATTGTCAATTAATAGGCACTGCTTAAGTGAATCCTCAAATTTCCAAGCGTTTATTTCAGTTTTGATAACCTTTTTATCTTATCGGTCATCAAACCATTGTGATCGGGCAGGTTCTCAATGGCAATCCGTATAATAGAAAGTGCGATGTGTACAGTTTTGGTATCTGCCTGTGGGAGATATACTGCTGTGACATGCCATATCCCGACCTCAGCTTCTCAGAAGTGACATCTGCTGTTGTTCGACAGGTAGATGAAGTGTTTTAAATGTTTTTCTTTTTTCTTTTTACTAAAAAATATGTGGTAATGGCAATACATGGATTTCTACAAAATTTGAAGCCTTCGACAGTTTTTATCTAGATCCTCTCGCAACCAGTCTTTTTTGCCAAATTACCATCCTTTACTTCTTTTACTCTAGTTGCCAACCTTTGCACCCCGACGCTCTTTCTCTGGTTCTCTAGATGCTTAGTAACTTTTTTTACTGGCTATTGGAAGTAGTAATAATAATATAATGTTCACAATAATTTTAACAATCACTACTATTATAGAAGCTGAAAAAAGAAAACAAATTTTAACAGAATCTGAGGCCAGAAATTCCCCGTTGTTGCCCGAGCTCTCTGGTCAATGTAATGAAGAGATGTTGGGATGCCAATCCTGATAAACGGCCGGAGATGGAGGAGGTTGTTTCCATGTTAGAGGCAATTGACACGTCCAAGGGTGGAGGTATGATCCCTCTTGATCACCCTCAAGGTTGTCTCTGTTTTCGCAGGTACCGAGGGCCGTGAAAAAGTTCCTCCTTGAAGTAGTTATTGGCAGGATATGGGACAGTGAATGTCATTGTCCAATTCGTCTCTTGTTCTATTCGAGATACAGGCTTTGGAAGAGCTGAGGGTATAGTCTGTAGAGGCTTTAGGCTAAGAGGAGCCTTGTTCTGTTTCTTTATTTCTGAAACTTATACACTACTTCTTGCTTTGTTTTATGTATCTTGATTAATTGAACATTAATATTAAGCAAATTCTACAATACCTTTGCATTACAATGCTCGTTTGATTCAATTTTGTTTTTGTTTTTGTTTTTGTTTTGTTTTGTTTTGTTTTGTTTTTTTTTTTAACTCATTCTACCAATTGAAAACTACGGAACTCCTAAAAAATTGTTAGTGGTTCTGAATTAGAAAATATGAAATGTAATTTATTTATAACAACTTTAAAATTTTGTGTGTAATTGATAGAAATGAAAAATAATTGGATTTATTTATGTATAACTTGATAAAGGTAAAGCTCCTCCAATAAATAAGGGATAAGAAATTGAATTCTAATCGAATCTATTAGTTATATTTGTAATGTAACCTCGTATATAAATATTCAAACGTATTAATGAAATACGGTAAGTGATTTCAACCTTCACATGGTACCGGAGCATTAAAGTTTAAGAACAGATTTCTTGTAATTTGCTCCATTTTTCTTTCTTCTCATCTTTGACATGGCCATCAATCAAGCATTAACCACAACCACTCGTTGGTTCTTTTCTCCCTTCTTCCAACAATGCTCATAAGTTTTTCTTGAAATTGAACTCTTCCAACTATTTACATATTTTTATTACACTATGCTTTACTCGTTTATAGTGATACAAGTTATGTACCTATAGAACTTTACAAGATAAAATTCAAAGCAACTTCTATCAATTTTTAGTCTTATCTTAAGTATAACATGTTGTAATTGGGCTAACTTGTAGAACCGTGCATGGTGTCGTCTGCTATAGGAGTTAGTGTTGTATCCATGACTTGTGTTGTAACGATTCTTCGTGTCTAATGAAGCATTTGTCATTGTAGTAGAGTCTTGGCTTAGTAGGCTCGATCATCTTCTCTATGAAGGGAGACCGTTTACTATGCCTATGGGAATGTTTTAGTAAGGTTTGCTTTTCTACTTATGTCCCAAGTAGACTCTTATCTTCTTAAACATTAATTCGGACTCGTGTTCCTTGACTTATTAAGAGCTATATGATGATACATAGTATTCGAATGTATCACGTTTAAAGTCATATTGGTTCATGGTTCATTTTTGTAAACGAAAAAAATAACTTAACTTTAATTGTATTGATGTATTTTTAACAAAAAGGGGAAAAAAAGTCTGGAAAGTGTTAAGACATGATTTTCATAAGTCTATGGCAACCGGATCTCCATCTTCTCGCTACAAGTTCTTCTTCCGTTAGACTTCAATAACAACCTAATTCCTTCATATAGCAACAACCGAGTCTTTTAGATACTATTCTATAAATATGTGTGTAGATAATTCTTATGAGTTGTAGATAATTAAGTAGTTTATGCATATATAAAGTTCTACAAACTCATTACTTGTAACACTATATAAGGACAACTAGTCCCTAAATAATAACAAGTATTCATTCAATCTTAAATCACTGTTTCAACTAGGTATCAAAGCCTATAAAAGTAACACTCGCCATTTTTTTTCCTCTTCCTACTAAGCGAAGCCATTTCTTTCTCCTTTACTAGCCAAAATTCTAATTTTTTCCTTCTTAGCCGATATCTTTCTAACTTATGCTAACTCACTATTCAATGATTTCTTCTACTAATACCTCTTCATCCACTACTTGCTCCATCACAAATCATATATAATCTACCCTTACTCAATCAGCTAACCCATGCCTACCACTTTATCTCTTTGAACCTCACTAACACCAATTTCTTACTATAGTGTGTTAAAATAAAAGCATTCCATCATGGCCAAGGCCTTTTCGACTTTGTTGATGGATCTAATCCTTGCCCTCCTAATCAAATTGACATAGCTGAATCTGCCTTACCTTAGCCCAATCCATATTATATTGCTTGGGTTTAGTAGGTTCAACTACTTATGAGTACTCTCATCTCCTTTCTCTCTATTGAAATTCTTCCAATCATTATTGAGTGCATCACATTTTGAGAGGCATGGTTTGCTCTTCCTAGTGCTTTTGCATTTCCTTTCAACACCCGTCTCACCTTGCACCTTTCTCTTCAAAAATTATGTCAAGAACCAAATGAACTTGTTTCTTAGTTCTTGTAGTGTGCAAAATCCTACAGTGATGAACTCACTACAACTAGGCATCCTCTTTTACCCATTGATTTCAATTTGTACGTGTTCAAAGGATTTTCTACCGACTTGAAGGATATTGTTACAACCGGGCATCCTCATCCGATCTCTCTCCTTCGCTAAAAGTTTGAGTTTATTACCTATTCCACTAGCCATAAATCTAATCCGCAAAACCATAGGCTTTCCTACAAAATGTCATGGGAGTCCAAATCATAGTAAGTGGTCACTTTATCATGGGAAAACACATAGTAGAAACTATTATAGGTATGTTCCAAATTTCGGTGCGGATAACAAGGGCAATTGGTCTCACAATGAGCATCAAATGAAATGTCAAATCTACTCCTCTTAGAATCACACGGCAATAAATTACCCATAATGGATGCTGCATAATTTTTATCTCTCGGTAAATCTTTCTACATTCAACTTTTCTACTTTGACTCCTTAATCATGGTGTCATGACATTGGTGCTTCTCACCATGTGACCCTAAATTTAATAAGCCTTAGCACTTATGAGCCCTATCTAGGTACTAATCAGCTACTGAGTTGGCAATGGTGAGTATTTACCCATTCATCTTATTGGTTCAAATCATATTCACGACCCTTTTAAAATTTTAAAATTTTTTGATGTTCTTCATGTCTCCTAAATAACTAGACCTTTACTTTTTGTCAATATGCTTGCACAAGATAACAATTTATTTTAAGAGTTTCACCCTTCTTCTTTTTGTCTAAAAGACTAGGTGCATAGGACTTCTTTTCTTTCATGCCCGAGTGTTGTTGATCTCTACTTTCTACCCCCTTCCACTATGTCCACTCATGCTTACTCTATCCATGCTTCTTCAAATATTTGGCTCTTTCTACCCCTTTCCACTATTTTGAAAAATCATGGTCTTTCATCTTCTACCAAACTAATTAGTCCTTTCTTGTCTTTTCCACTAAGAAAAGCAAGTCGATTATCGTTGTCTTTATCTCCAAATTTGAGTTTGGATTTTTGAATTTATTTTTTAGTGACATATGGGGATCTTTTCTTACTACGCCAGTTGATAGTCATAAATATTACGTAGTCTTCATAGATCACTTTTCTAAGCATATTTGGTATTTTCATTATATAAAAAATTAGATGTCTTTCACACATTTATTGAATTCCAAAAAATGGTTGAACATCAATTTAATTGTAAAATCAAACAAGTTCAAACAAATTGAGGTGGGAAATTTCATAGTCTAATAAACTTTTTTATACTATTGGTATCATTTATCTTATAGTGTGTACTCATGCATACAAACAAAATGGTACTCGTTGAAAAAAGACATCGTCACATTGTCGAAACATGTCTTCCACTACAAAGAAAAGCTAAGGTTCCAAAAAAAAAAAAAAAATACTAGCACTTTGCCTTTGAATGTGCGGTATTTCTCATCCACCGAATGTCATTGTCTATTCTTAAAAATAAATCACCTTTTGAAATTGTATTTAAAAAACAACCAAACTACTCTTTAAAAAAAAAATTGGTTGTCTTTGCTTCGCCTATTTACGTTCTTACAAAAAACATAAAATGGATTTTTGTTCGAGTTTTTATGTTTTACTTAGCTACAATCCATCTTATCTAGGGTAACATTGTCTTAACCAAACTATAAATCGATTTTATATTGCTCGACATGTTCATTTTGTCAAAAAGTATTTCTCCATATGATCACAAAGATTTTTTGAAACATACTTTTGTCTCCATGCCTTCGATTCACCTTATTCAGCACCTAAATTTTGCTTCTTAATTTCTTTAAATAGGTCGGTAGCACTCAATGACCATCTCCTGCAAGCCTAGGTCGAGCTCGCTAACTTTTATCAATCTGCCAACCCACAAGCTCACCCCATAATAACACAAGCTCTAGCCTACTCTTACCTATCCAAACTTGCACCTCAAGTCCGCTCATTTTTAACGAGTTGTCCAGCTCACGAGCTCACACCACACCAAAATAGCATAGGCTCCAGCCCTACTCTTACATGTCCGGACCCGCACCTCCCCTCCTTCAAACTAAGCCCATAAACTTAAGTGCCTTTACTTGCCTAAACTCGATCACATTATGCTACTCCTGCTATTACAAATCCCTCTAAATCATAAACATATACCTTACGACTCCTTTCAAAATGCAAGAACATAGACTTTCTTCAACCTCATCCTTCATTTCCACTTAGAGTCGGCCTCTCTAATCCTCTATAAACATAACTTGCCTAGCATTTCAAAATCATCACTAGATGTAATCTCTTCTTCCTCTCCCAATAACTTAATGTCTACCTTACATAGCCTAAAATTAATGTTAGATTTCTATGAATTTGATTTGGAACCTTCAAAATAAACCACTAACTTGCAATCTATTGAGGAACCCCAAAGAACTCAATTTATGGTGCTTCGTTCAACAGTTCCATTATTCAAGCCATCTGTTTCCTTGGTCGTCTCCTCTAGCCAAATTCCAAAAGTACGATCTTGTTATATTTAAGCAAAAAAATTTACAAAATGGAGATCGACTATGATCGTAGAATTTAATGCCTTTCTACAAACTCGGACTTAGAGCTTGGTACCTCAAATAGGTTCAATGAATGTTATAGATAACAAATGGGTGTTTCAAAAAAAAAAAAAAAAAAGAGGGCGAGATGGCACCATTGAACTATATAAAGCAAGGTTGGTTGCTAAAAGATATCATTAGTAAAAAGA